AAAAATAGTACAAATGAAAATAAAGTTGAAGATATTAAGATAAAATTTAAGAATTTAAGGTCATCGGACAGTGGTTGCAAATATGGATTAATGTTCATAGGCACTACTAGTGGAAGCGTTTGGGGAATTGAAAAACCTGGCAAAGTTGTTGCTAATAGGATAAGAGATTTGGCCAGATCTGCGCTTTTGTACGTTGACGAATTGATAGAGAATGGGGAAAATAGGGAGTTCAAGGTATATATTATGTTCATTTTGCATAATAAAAAGACACATCATTGTGTTCGTTGTCTTATTTTTTATTTTTAATGAAATTTTATACTTTAGAGACTTTTTGTAACGCCACTTTCAGATTATGACATGATTATTCATTTAGATCCATACCAGTGCACAAGATACTATCAAAATATTTTTGTCGATGCACAGTATTTATCACACGATAAGAAAAAGATACTTTCTTTAAAGGTTGACACTATTGATGAAAGCAATGATAATGTGATGAGAGATCGTGTAGAAAAAGAAGGAAAAATGATTGCTATGGTTGGGTTTGATCCTGTAGAATATTATTTGGGTGAACTGAGAGTAATTATTTATTTTTCTTGTTATTTGAATTTTATTACCCATCATTTTTCTGATAATAATATTGATTTTTTTATAGAAATTATACTCTGACATAGCTTTATTCTTTCATGATAAGCATGGTGGGACAGTAATTGGAGTTGTTTGGGTACCAATAAATTTTACACCTAAACCATGGAAAGTTAGCACTGAAATTAATAATATTTTGGTATCAAAAATTGAAAATTATAAGAATCAAAAGGATGGTTATGATGTGAGTATTAATTATTATAATAATTTGTTTTTGAAGAATAGTAATTTATTTTTTTATTTTTGTAATAATTTACAGAATCAAAATATAATATTAAATACTAAAGCTATTACTTTAGAAATGGAAAGATTAGGTGAAGAATTGGTTATTGGGGTTGAAATTAGTAAAGGTTAATTTATTTAAAGTTTTTTAAGTTTGTTGTTTTTAACTAATTTAAAAAGTTAATGCTTAAAAAAATATTTTTATATAAAAACTTTTAAAGAAAGTTTTTTTATTAAATAAAAATTATATATTTTTAAAAAGTATTATTAATTAATTGTTATTGTTAAAATATTATTTAATATAATATATTAAAAAACTAGAATTTATTATTTTTAAAAAATAAGTTTTTTTTTGGTATTAAGATAACCTCTTGGTTATTTTTTTTTATTTGATTATAGTTTAACTTTTATAGTATGCTGTTGTATATGCCACCTTATATAATATATATATTTTAAAAATACATACTAATTACTTATACAATTTTGATTACTTATTTAAGTAGTTTATTTATAACTAAGTTTTATACTAGATACTATATCTATAACCTGACTAGAAGGTTATCTATTTAAACTTTTTGTGTCTATATAGACTATTTTTTAATAGGTATTTCTAGACATCTCTGGCTAGAGATACCTAACAATAATATTTCGGACCTAAAAGCCAATTAAAATGCTAAATAATCACGTAATAGCTGTTTCATATAGCACAAAGGATGATCATCACAAATCAGTCTGACAAAACAAAAACAATAACAAAAAGCATGAAAAAGTAAAGAATGTAAAAAATATCAAAAATGGCTATCTAAATATATTTTAGATCACTAATTAAAAGTGTCAGAAAGGCGATTTTGCTTATATAATTTGCCTTTGCCCTAATTCTATATGACCCTAACCCTAATTAAGTTAATTGATTAGGTATAGCTTCGTGCCAGAGATATATAAGCTAAATATATCTGGCTAGAGATATCTAAAATTGTCCTTTTTTAATTGTCTTTTTTTAATTAATTAAAAATATTATTAATATAGATAGTTTGAAAAAGATACTAGTTTTTAGCATTTATTTAGTAGATCTTTTTTTTTTAATTGATGTTCTAGTAGCCTAATTGGTAAATATCTTTGTTGAATATCTGGTTTTTATTTAGTTATATCAACTTCAAGTATAGTCTATTCTAATAGTATTATTAAAAGTTTGTATTATTTTTTAACTTAGAACTTGTTAAGCAAATATCTATCTTTCTAGTTTCTTGAGTTTATATAGTTACTAGAATTTATTATAAATTTATACTGACTTAATACTAGCTTGCATGCTTTTGTATAACTTATATATTATAAAAATTCTTAATAATTCTTTTAGATATCTAATACAATCTTGGTTACAAAATTTTAATTTAACTAATTAGTAAAAAATAGTAACTAGTGAAATTCAAACTCTGGATATACTATTTGAGTATAACAACTTTATCACTTTACTGAGTGATCATACTCTTAATAAACTTTTTTTTCAATTTATAAAGAAATATTTTAAATTTTATAGATCATTAATTTATTAAATTTTAACAATCTTATTTTACAAAAAAGTATTATATTTGTATATTAACAAAATAACAATTAGCTATATATGAATGCAAATCACTAACTCTTCCTGACGATCACTTGTACCAAATTTTCTCTAAAAATAATCACTCTATTCTCTAAATTC